CCCCCAAACAGATGCATTGAGTCAAATCAAACAAAACGCGAGTGCCCTCCGAACGGAAGAGGCTTGCGACCTCCTTGATAAGTTGATAGATCAAATGCACTACGATCACATGTACGCAATGACTCCGGATAGAACAGAAAATATAATTCTCATGACGTCACGTGTTGGACGATCAATCACTATCTATTTTTGGCTTAGCAGCGTCTCCTCTACAGAATAATAAAGTGAGATTCTGAAAGATTGTCCGTATCTTTAGAAGATAACAGGAAATTCTTTTTGTTTTTCACAGAAAGGGACACAGTAGACACGTACACAGCTACTCAGGGATTAGAGACATGATGGATGAGAGGCTCAGAAGGAACAAAGGTGCAGGGGTACTGTAAATCAACAATTGTCATGCCTATTTATGGTTTGACAAGATTAGATAAGTCTACAGTAGTCTTTGCGCTGTTCACTTAATCTACAGTAACGAACAATGAGATATATAAAAACTCATGTTTCATATTTTTGGCATTTTCAGGGGTCTGGAGCTCGGCTGTCAAGATTCGGATAACTTTGAAAACTTTGGAGGGTGTCAAACAGACCTAGATTGAAATGTTTGCATTCACAGAACTTATTGGAAAATCCTAGTTTTTCAGCTATGCCTCTTTCGGAAAGACGCCACTTCTGGCTTTACACTAAAAACCTAGAATGTCAGGTGTCTTCCAGAAATCAATAAATTCCGAGCTCCAGACTCCTAAATAAGCCAGAAGTCAACTGAAAAATTCGTTTATTGACCGGTATTGTAAATCTACTGTAGTCTTTGCTCTGTTTGGGACTTGCAGGGCACTAAATGAGGTTCAAAAATAGCAAAAACAGCCAATCTTTCTCATCCTGAATCATCAGATCAAAAAAGACCAGAAATCTTCCTGTTCTTTAATGAAAAACAAGCCATCAAACACTGTTTTTATGTACTTCACGTAAACAGAAGTTGAGAATAAGAGTTCAGAACAAAGTTTTGAGATGTACGAGGAAATTTGAGACATACAAGTTTGATAATTGTGAACTAGGAATAATAACACTGCCTAGAAAAAGTTGAGGTACACCTGGAGAACCAATGGGGTACACCTGGAGAACCAGAGGTACACCTGGAGAACCAACGACTGGTTTTCCAAGTAATCCGATTATGCATATTTTACAATGGAAACATTTTCTGTAGGTGATACTTGATCGAAAAGAGAGGGACTAGGAAAGCGTATCATAGTTTTTGTAGAGAGAATAGTGTCACGACTTTGATAGAGACGGGTCGCTTGCAATAACATTTCAAGGACTCGGAAGTGATATGTGAGACAGGATTGATAAGATTTGATTTTCTCACATTTACTATGATAGGTGGATCGAAAATGAGAACAGATATTGGTTTTTCTGGCTTGGGGAAAATTTTTATTTCGAACTTTGGGCAGGCAAACGAGAGGGATCTCCAGATAGGCAACTTTGAACCCCTATATCTCATTTCGTGTCAAAAATATCAAAAAGCTGTCAACTGATAATTTGTTCATCGTAACATCAGAAATGTTTTCTCTGTGGTCAAAATTTTGATATCTTGCACGGGAGCCAAGAAAATTAACTCAAACTTGACCGTGCTCCTCTATTACAGGTTTAACTGTATCTCTTGATTTTTTATGACTTACCAAGTATCATATGTTCTCTACAGTAATCTAATAGTGCAGCGCATCCATATTTGCATAAATATCAAACTGAAGCTTTTGGTCTTAGTCCAAAATTAGACAAGATAATGTCGAGATTTAGGGCTTCAATGTTGTCTGAATGACTGTTTGAAAGTTTTGAAAGAAGCCTACAAAATGGGAAACCCCACAGGAAGTTTTTGCATTTAAAAGTATTGCAGTGACATTCGGGGAATTTTAATCTATTCAGTTGGAAAGATTAAAAGTTTGAAATTATAGAAATTAGATTTGAAATTTTCCTTTAAATGTTATTGATGCGGGCGTTTTGGACCTTTAAGGCTGCTATATTGAATATTGTGAAACAGAAACCCTACAATCAGTCTGGCGGGCTTTTGTTAACTTGATACCAATTCGCAACTAACAGTAAAAATCTGTAATACGAAGGATTTTAATAACTATGAACCAACATTTGCCAGCTATTAGGTTGTTTATCAAAAAATCTGGTCATCACACAAAAATTTGAGCATCACACAACAAATAGAATAGAGAACGTTTTAGATGAAATGAAAATAATGCACGAAGCTATTTTTGAATGCGTGGTTTAAGCCTTGAACTCCAAGTCTGGCTAACCCGCTCTCTTATCTCGTCATATTTGAAATGAATGATTTTCTCACAGAAAGCACTCTAGATGCAAAAACATAACCGAGCTGAAAAATATTGAAACTGCGTACGTGGGCGAAAAAGCGGATAGGTTGCCCATGTTGAGCCGTATAAACCCCGAAATGTACAATTTTGTTCATTGCTGTTTCTCTGCTTCTCTGTACGTTTTATTTTTTCAGTACTGCAACTTTCTATCTCTAGTTTATCACTAGACATTAAACTTTTGGCACGCCCCCCCTTCTTTTCATTTTTAAAGATTATAAACCGGGAAAGGGAGAAGAGGCAGCAGAGAAATATAGTAGTGCTAAAAATGGGGAAACCTGTTATCAACAAATGCAGAAAAGAGTCTTTCTATTTGGTTCAGGAAAGCAGAAACTACGAAAATGCTAAGAAAATCTTTGAAAATCCCAAGGCGTACTTTGATCTTTTCTTTTCAATCTTAGAATTTTCCAAAGCAACAAGGTTCTAATTTCGATAATAATCATTGGGTTGCCCCGATAATGCGATTCCCGTTGTCCCCCTCTCGGTTTCCAATTTTGCTGAGCGAGTGTGCTGCATGCCCAAACATACACACAGCGTACACAATCTTTGAAAATCAAGAAGGTGGGGTTTCCCCGATCTTTTCGCTTGCTGCCTCTGCATTTTTCAAGTTACAAACGATGGGGCAAACACCATAAATGATGTGTTATCAAAAAGAAAAAGGAGGAGAAAAATAATTTTTCGATTGGAAGAAAAAACGATAGTGTCAGTTCAAAAAGTAGTCACGAGTGTTGAACAGGTAGAGCGTGCACTTGATGTCATGTCTATTTTCAGAAAACCTTCTGTTCCAAAGTTCCATTCCAATTTTTTCCTGGATTTTCGAAAATCGTAGTTAAAAAATCTAGATAATATTTTATAAAGCAGACAATTCTCGAGATCCGAAAAATCCGATATAGACACGGAATTAATAATGACACTGTTTCAAAATCACAGATATAATACGCTCACCTTGGCAGACTGAAATTTTTGAGAATAGAGTCTCAAAAATATTAGAATTTTCCGAGTTTGAGGGAAAATTCGAGTACAATGGGGAAAGTTGCGAGAAGTCGAAAGTGACCGGCAAAAGATGCGAAAGTGAAGGAAAGTTTTCCAACAAAACGGCGAAAAGAATCAAAAGAAAAAAAACGTTTGGCTAAGAGAGAACGAAGAAAATGCAGAGGCTAGAAGAAAGAAACAAAATAATATGGTTTAAAGTTTCGTTTCAGCAGAAAACGGAAACTTTATGAAAATAAACAAACGGAACTTCTACCTTGATTTTCCTTGGAAAATCAACTGAAAAATCTTGAAAATTGAAGGAAAATCGTTTTCTTTTTAGGAAGGTTTTCTATTTACATAGAATAGGTAAAAGAATTTTATTTCACGTTCACACTCAATTTTAAAAATTTTCTTATTCTAAAAAGTCAATAAAATGATAGAATAGTATAATGAATGCACATTCATCTAATTTTGAACACAAAACTTGCTGTTGTCTAACCCAAAAACGATGTTTTCCGATACCAATTGATAGAGCTAAGAATTCGGAGTACTGTATCCAAAAATGTTAATTTTTCATTACATATTGTTTGAGATAATTGAGTTCAAAGGTCATTTTCTAAGTCTTTGAACTGGAAAATCGTTTAAATAATGTTAAAATAATGGAAAGTCATTTAAATAATAGATAGAATAATTTTCCAAAGAAAATCTTCATGAATGTGGTCTCTGATAAAATTGCGAACCAACAAAATGCCCGGGATAGTACACCTACTGTGCCGTAGACGAACTATTGTTGCACTTGTGCCCACCCATTATGATCTATGCAAATTGTTTATCAACTACGTCATCAGACTCTGATCTTTCTGCTGTTGTATTATTATTCTGAGAATTATTTATTAGGATAATCTCAAGGACTTTAAGAGAAAACAGATAATCAAAGTACAATATTTGATAAGAAAGTTGAATATAGGATAACAGGGGAACCTCGACACCAAAACTTTTATAAAAACTTCAGAATATGTTAAGAATAGCTTATCTAGACACTTCTAGAAAAGGTAAATACGCTCGCCAGTTTCAATCGGGTTGTATTAATTTCCGTATCGAAAATCACGATTTCAGTGCCAAAACAGCAATTTTCAAAGTTTTTCAAACTTTTAGGACGTTTTAAAACATGAAATGTTGTATTTTTCATAGTTTCTCAGAAATAGTTTGTCTCAAATTTCCGAATTTTCCATTACTCGGATTCACTTAAATATGAAAAAAAATTTTGAAAAAATTTGTGAAATATAGAATATCATAAAGTCAATTTTCATGATTTCAAACGTTCTAGAACTTAAGAAAATCGTCTTTGAGCTCGGTTTTTGCTCTGAAAACGCATTTTTGATACTGAAACTCATAATACTGAAACTCATATAACTCGGCTGAAACTAGCGGGTGGATTCTAAAATTTCTTCTGGATAAACTATTTTTAACCTATTCTGAACGTTTCATCAAAACTGTGTGAAATGTGTCTTGGTCTGTTACGGCTCCTTGCTGATTACTTAGTGACCAAAACTTGACTAGTAGTGTTCTTCTCTCCAGTGGTGTCAAAACAAAAACATATGTTCAATAAGGATGTTCATTCACATAAATGTACAGATAAAGTTATTGGGTAGAATAGAGAAGTTAATTTGGACAAGTCATGTTGACTCCGGCAGCTTTGAGGCATTTGCAGGAATCAGCAGCTCCCTTGGTTGGGTCATAGCCAAGCTTAAAATAAAAATTGAAGAAAATCATACAGAAAAACATTCCTTACCTCCTTTTGGCACTCGGTATAAGCATTTTGAGTAGCGTCGGATGGTGGAGCAAGGGCACACTTCAGCTTGAAAGCGCAAGTAGCTGGACTTCTCTTCTTTCTTCCTGGAATCACTTCCATATCGTCATGAGTGCACTCATCGATGCACATGAGATACTGTCTGAGCTGGAGTGGTGGCTCGGCTTGAGCAGATGGAGCAGATTCTCCAACAGCGACAGCGCCGGACTCTTCCAAGGATGGGATTTCGATGACTGGGATGAGTGGGATGGTGAGGTTGACTGGGGTAGCAGAGTTGGTGCATCTGAAAGCTTGGGATATAGGAATTTGAAATTTGTCTTGTCAACAATACCCAAGTTCTCCATTCAACTTCTTCTTGGCGCAAGCCTCAACCTTCATCATTTGGTCGTGATCCGCATCCAAGCAATCCATGATTTTAGTGGCATCTCCGATTTCTTTAAGGAAGTTTGTGCACTCAGCCCTGAAACAATCATGATTGAATTGGAAGAATACGAGGATTGGTGTACTTCTTCTTGCAGTTGTTAGTCTTAGTGGCAATAGTTTCAGCGCACTCCTCTAAGTCACTGCATTTGCATTGGGCAACAACGGTGTGTCCTTCTGGAACATCGGCGGCAAACTGTAATGCGGTCAGGTGAGCTGAAAAATTGGGACAAAGAAACTTACAGTCGCTGCAATAGCAAAAGAGCAGCACAAAATTGCAGTGCTCAGCTTCATATCTTGATCGTTTAACTGGGATTGACGGCGCTAGCGCCTCGGCCCTTTTCTACCCATTTTCTAATGTGGTTGACCAGCCCAAATGCAAACATTTGCAAGCGTTGAGAAGAGTGGGAGGTGACACAAAAAACCTCGAATCAACAGTCTGTTTGTTAGAAGGAGATCTCTCCAAAAAGCTCTATAAGTGCCCTGTTTTTTGGCACCTTTCGGCCCCCCCCCCCCACACTTTGTTTGGGCAAAGAATGATCAAAAAAAGGAGTGCGAGAGAACAAACTGAGCCTCAATTGAGTGAGCGTGATCCTTCTACTTCTTTGAATGAGCTATTGCAACAGAGACTGAACAATAACAGTTTATTGTATAAAACATTCTAAATATGGATGATGTTGTTGATCAGCCGTAATACAAAAAGGAATGACATGACATTCTAACACAGAAACAGAGAAGAGAACCCGGAAAATGAAAAAAAAAACAATAACCAAACAAAAATACTTAACAAAAAATTATTATTAATTTATTAATCTGAGCATCCGGTCGTAGTAACCAAGTAGCTGTCGTTGCCTGAAAAAATAAATATCTCAATTACTAGTTTTACTAGTTTCGCTGAGCAAATATTGATTTATACATTCAAAAAAATCAGAAAAGCATCAAAAATCAGTTTTTCATTCCATGGATGTTAGTGACGTGTGTCTTGTGCTTTGCGATCGAAATTTTCACTGTTTGTTATCTGACAGGATTTGCTTACCTCATGCTGTTTGCAACGTTGCGACTCAGCTGTCTTTTGATCTGCAAACGCTTGTTTCTCATTTGCCATCGCGATCGTTTTCGGCAGATTCCTTGACAAGCGTCCAGCCAGCGAAGTCGTCCGAATATTTTTCCAGGTCGGGTTAACACGAATCGAGCAATGTTGGTATGGTTGATCATGAATTCTTCTGGATATTTCCAACTGAGACCAATGCTGAAATTCGGTTTTTTTGTTTTTGTGGTTTTTTTGAATTCAAAAACAAAATGAAACATTTCCAGGAGAAAACTATTATTTATAATCTGCGCCCAGCCAAGCCGAGCCTTTTCAGAGTTTTCTTTCCGGCTCGGGTTTTCAATTTTTTTTTGTATTTTCAGAAAAAACTGTATTTCAAATAAACATCTAGTCAATCACATAGTTAAACATTTATTTCGCCAAAAATAATCAAATTCATTTTTCGGAATTTCTGATTTTCTGAAATTTTGAAATTCTGATTTTCTGAAATTTTGAAATTTCGATTTTCTGAATTTCCGAATTTCTGATTTTTTGTATTTTTGCGTTTTTGAATTTTCAGAAATTTCGGAAATGTCCGTTTTAAATTTTCTGAATCTTTGAACTTCTAAATTTCCAAATTTCTGATTTTTTGATTTTCTTAATTGTTGATATTTTTGTTTTTTGAATTTTTAGGAATTTCAAAATTTCAAAATTTTTAATTTTTTTTGTTTTCAGGAAATTATAATATTTTCGGAAATCTATAATTTTTGGGAATTTCAGCCAAACGAACAGGGACCTAATATTTCAAGTAAACTATTACCCACCTGTCTGCACTCGTGATCAAAATTTTCGGAAGTTGATCGAAGTCGAGATTATATGGAAGACTGGTTTCAGACACATCGACCCTAAAAAATTGACCTTCTTCATTTTCAATTCTTTTTCTCCAATTAAAAACTAACATAGAAAAATCGATAATACTTTTTGCCTCTTTGAAATGGTCAGCGACGAGATGAAACGGTGCGATTGCAGAACTGGAGGCACTATGCCAAATTCCGCCGCTGAACAGTATCACGTTGATCTGAAAGATAAATTTTTTTGAAAAAATTAGTATTAAAAATGCTCACTTTCTTGCTAGTCAGCAATGCTGTAGCGTTGCTCACAAATTTGACTGATGATGGCTCTCCAACAGCGTCACTATGGAGATTTTCCGGCGTTGTCGACGAGTGCTGGGTGACAATTTGGGCTGCTTCAACCACAAATTCGTTTTCCGCAGCGTTGTGGTGTTGGCGAATGAGACAGTTGATGTTTCCTCTGCAAATTGAGAGTTTTCAAAGATACCGTGAAATTAGTATTAAAAGAGGCGGTCGTTTATTGCTCCAAGGTACCTCCATAGAGGCTTTTTATTACAAGGGCCCTTTAATTAGAGGGAGCTTTTCTATTTTTTTAAAATTAAATTCGGTGATTTCTTGTTGAAAATTCATGAAAACCTAGCAAGTTTTGAAGCAAAAAAGGTTGTCAACAAAACTACATATGTACAATTTTGGGGTTCCTGGAATATTTTTCACGGTAAATTATTTTATTTCTAAAAAAATAAGTTCGAGGAAAACTCTATGTACCACAAGAGCCCTTCTCTTACAGAGGCCCGTCTAATACAGGTTTTGAAGAAAAAACAACTCACCGAGTGATATTTTTCCGAATGTATCTAGTAACTTCTTGTTTGGTGTTGATGGCAATGACCATATCTTCCTGGAATCACATTTATTAGACATAACTCGTAACCTGTTTTATTTCTAACCGTTTCTGCTCCATACTTCACTGCCAACGCGCTTTCCACACTAGAATCAATTGCCAAAAATGAAAGAGTGTTGTTAGCCTAAATAATTTTTTCACTTTCTCCGTTTCATAATACCGCCCACCTTGCAAAACTTATTCTCTAAACTAATCGAGCAATCCTCTTCGAATAAAATTTCCTCATTTTCATTCACAATCGAAAGAATGTTATTTGCTTGCGCGCAGTTTTGATATTCTCGTGCAATTTCTCGGAACATCTTATATTTCTCACTTCCATATGTCAAATCTCGAGAGAAATACATTAACACAGAGCCTTGTTCGAATTTCTCAGCTAGTTGAGTCGAATGAAACTGTCTTCCTGCAAAAATGATGATGAAAAACTTTTTTTTTGTCTAATTGTTTAACTCACCCAAATTCAAAAACTCCACTTTCATTAGCTCCTTTTCTTTGGAGTATTTCAGTACGTCATTATGAACAGCTTCATTAGTCCAACCCTTGTAATGAGTAGCTAAGAGCCTGAGCTCAGAGCTCACCAGTATCAAATCATGCTCATTGTGAAGTTGGAGTTGATTGGCAAATGTTGGGTCCGTCACCATGCAGAAAATCGTTCTCTCGGAGTCTGTAAATTCTCATTTGAGATTGCACCCAACTTTCATTGGGTATTTCTCACTTGGATCTCCATTTAGATGGTCGAATGCAAGTCTTGTGTAGTTAGCAGCTGATTGATAAGCTTGAGGAGGTGTTTTGATTTGATAATATAGGATGACTATCAAATCGTGATGTTCTGCTAAATGCCTCAAGTCGCCAGGGCTGTGTAACCGAAATATTGGATTTTGAAGTCGGTTTATCCATCTGTAATTCATGAAATCAGGGTTTTCTTAGAAGTCTAAACCTCACCTTGACAAATATAACGAATTTAGTGGACCATTATACACAGAAAGTACAAAACCCGTACTTTGAGCCATTATCGCTGGGTACTGCTTCAAATTGTATTTACTTCGACAATATGTATTGGAATCGAAACAGTTCGTCGCCCCGAAATATGGTGCGAGGTCCTGAAAAGCTTCATTTTTGAGTCCAGTTAAATATAGAAGAAGACTCACCCCGTGTAGCTTCTTCATATTTCGAGCTGTATTGAAGTACTCGTCTCGAAACCATTTTGATTTTATACTATATGGAGAGTATAATAGTATTACTGATAGTGTTTGATTTCTGGAATCAAAATTCTCGACATTCAGAAAATATTTTTGGTAAAAAACTGACGCTGATAACCGTATTGTGCCATCGAAACTATCTTCTATTAACCTTCGATGCATTCCTATGAAAAATGGTTTCACTGCAGCTTTAGGTACCACCAGAGGTCGTGAGGGCATGGTTAGTCTGAAAACAAACCAGTTTATTGATTACCGTATTTCCTCTAATAGAAGCCCACCTCTATTTGAAGCCCACCCCACGAGGTGCTTCGAAAAATAGAAGCCCACCCTCTAATAGAAGCCCATGAGCGTCTATTAGAAAAAATACGGTTGAGAAAAATTCCAGAAGTTTTGGAACTGTGGTTTAAAAACTCGAAAATTTCTCAATTTTTGATCTACAGGATTCCTGAATTTTGAATTTAGAGATTCTGGAATCTCAGAATTTCATAGATTCGTAATTTTGTGGTTTAGAATGGCAGAATGAAAACCTCGAATTAAAAATAAGCACCGAAATTCAGAATTCTCAACTTCTGAATTGCCAAATTTCTGATTTTTTTTTTTGAACAAAATTTTTTTTGAAAATTATTCATTGAAAAATAGAAGCCCACCCTCTAATTAAAGCCCACCTCTAATAGAAGCCCACCCTGAGGAATAGGTTGAAAAATAGAAGCCCATGGGCTTCTATTAGAGGAAATACGGTAAATTACGCTTCAAATCTCACCCTAACAACGCCAACACCAGATAAATCATTGCTCCCAACAAGGCGGTCGTCCCGAAAAGAAGCCCAATATCTTTTACGTATAATTCTCCGTTTCCTATATTTCTCAGCCGCACTGCACGTTCTATCACATCTAGAGGTCGGTCTTCTTGGAATACTGTAAAAAATATGTTTATAAATACTTGTAAAATGACGGGCCAGCCCTCTTAGGGAAAATTTCCATACCTTAGCCCTCCTCATATAATGGTTTCAAAGTTTTTTCATTTGTTTGTCTTCTATAATTTTTCCACGTTTTTGAAAATTTTAATCGAAACAAAAAACAGGTTTCATTTCATATAAAAATCACTTTTGAGAAAATTTTCCGGACCCGCCGGGACTGACCTCGAAAAAAAAAGCCTGGCCCGTTACAAATACGGCCCGTTACAATTTATGTAAAAATACAGAAACAAATCAATGAACAAAAAAGCGGGGGAAAATTTTTATGCGACGTATACTTTTTCATGTTTGTTTAGTCGACCCCCGGGAGGCTCCCTCTCTCTCTGTTTCGCGGTTTTTATTTTTTGATTGGCGTCCATTTCCGCGGCTTCAAAATTTATATTCAATACAAACTGTCAAAATGTTTCGGTATTTCAACCCAAAAAAAAAAAATACAAAACCGTATTTTTCAGTTAATTTTAGGCATTTTTGATCATTTTCAGGAGTCTGGAGCTCGGCTGTCAAATTTCCGCTCACTTTGAAAATTCAGAAGAATTTAAAACAGACCTAGAGAAAACATTTGGCATTTACAGAATTTTTTGTAAAATCCTAGTTTTTCAGTTATTGGCCGATTTCATGAAGACACATTTTTTTCAGATTTCAATACGAAAAGGGATGATTTTCAGAAACCGGTGAATTACTGCAGAACTAGGAATTTTTAAAAAGTTCTGTGAATCCAAGGTTCATTTCCTTGGTCTCTTTTATATTTTTCAAAACTTTCGAAGATATCGGAAACTGGACAACCGGGCTTCAGACTCTTGAAAACGGTAAATTGATCGTAAATCCACTGACAAATGCGTTTTCCGTATATCATTGACCGATACTGCACGTCAAAAATAAGAAAACATGGTTTTTCTGAGTGAAGGACCATTCGAACAGATTTGTATTATGCCAGGTGGTTTTTCATATTAATTTCAGGAAGAATTCCTCAAGATTTGTTGAAACACTTACCTTTTGCGATTCCTTCTCGTTTTTCTTCTTCTTCTTCTTCTTTTTCTTCCTCGTCGTCACCGTTATCTTCCTCTTGCTCTTCGTCCTCAACGATGATGTCCTCTTCCTCGTCTAAACTGTTTCTCACGTTTTGTTCTCCGTCTTTGTCAAGGTACTCGACAGTTTCTTCAACGAAATCCGATTCTGATGATGAATAAGTGGTCTCTGAAAATGGTAACTTTAAAATTCAGCCAGTTTCTTTGACAAAACTTTTCAATAATTATTAAAAAACAAGAAAATAACTTACCGTCGTTGACTGACTCTTCCGTATCAGTTTCCTCTATTCTTTTGTTCGATTTCCGTGATTTTCTCGGGCCGTCATTATCTTCTTGCATATGATAGTTCAGGAAGAATTCACCTGAAAACGTACAGTTGATGATAAACTTTTTGGTGTATTTAATGAAGAAAAACGACAAATAGTACGCGCAGTAAAGAGACGCAGACACAACGACGGAGCGCATCTTCATCGTTTTCTCCGGTGTACACAAAAATCTAGTTTTTTTCCGGTTTTTTTTTCGGAAGTGCTTTACAAGCCAAAATTTAGTTGATAGAATTTTTTGGTGATTTGGAAGGTTCACAAATGAAAAAAGAACTGCAACAACAGAAAAAAAAAACTAAGGACACGTTTCCCTGTACCAGATCAATAATCCGCACGCAAGGAGGCCAACTGTCCGGGGTGTGGGGTGTCGTGGTCCGTCCGGAGATTAATTATCCTTGCACCGTCTGCCATATTGCCTATTGTCTTTCTTAATGACCTCGCCACAAGACATATTACTGTATTTTTAAGTCTACACGTTTTATTGGGAGCTCTCTCAATGTACAGCAACAGGGAAAATGAATAAAGAAAATGAATAGAAAGTTTTAAAACTCACAAAAGAGAGAATATAACAAAAATAACTGGTAAAAATATTGAACATGGGGATTTAACAAATTTAACTGGGAATGGTTCAATTACAATTTCAATTTTGTCGTTGTCAGTTTTTTTGAAGTACGGAGAATATTCTGGTTTTGAGCTTCCGGATCCCGGCGCGTTTGCAGATCCTTCGTAATCATAGTCATTCTGAAAAATAAAAACGGAATCCCTCAAAAAGTTGCCCTGGAAACCTACATAATCTTCATCATCAATTTGTATGCGAGCTTCCGCTTTAGAGTAATAAGTTCCAGATTTCTGAGACTCTTTTCCAGATAATACATGAGATATTCGAGATTGAAGCCAGTGGAGACGGAGTCGTTCTTCTATATAACTTCCTGAAAGTAATGTTTTGTTATTTTGAGAAGTTCAAACATACAGTACTCAGTAATAAATTGTGAAAAACGTAATTTTCACTAGATTTTTTGCCATTTTGACCATGTTCAAGAGTCTAGAGCTCGGCTGTCAAGTTTTAGATCACTTTGAAAATTTTGGAGGGTGTACAACAGCCTCAGATTGAGACATTTGCGTTTTCAGAATTTTTTCGAAAATTCCTAGTTTTTTCAGCTATTTGTCGATTTCTGGAAGACCAGCAGATTCTAACAGTTCTGTGAATGCAAAGTTCACTATCTAGGTTTGTTTCCCATCTTCCAATGTTTTCAAAGAAACCGGAAACTTGACAATCAAGCTCCAGGCTTCGGAAAGTAATCAAAATGGCCAAAAATATACTGAAAAATACAATTTTGTACACGTTATTGACCAGTACTGTATAACAAAAACTGTAATCTAGATATGCATTTCAAGCTCAATTATCTGATTTTTTGAGATATGTCAAAAATATGTCAACTAACAAAATGTTAATCATGATAACATCAAGATTATATTAGTTGATATTTTTTTGCTATCTCTGATTGAAACTGAGTTAATTGGGCTTGAAGTTTTAAGTCATCTTTTAAAAGATATTTTTGTACCTCTGAATGTCAGAAAATCAATCCCTTGATATTCTGGATTCTTGAAAGGATGTGTATAGTTCACTTCTGGAAGGTTGTATCGTCCAACATCAGTCCCATTCCAACACTTCTCGTCATCCTGGCTAGACCAATCTTCATCCCCACACAACTCTTCAGGTAAGTTCCCAAAGAAAATCTTCCATTCTTCCAACTGAAAAAAAAAACTGTTCTTACTGAAACAATTGTCAGTGTTAACACATAATGACCCTAAGGTGTTAGTAAAGCGCTTAACCTTGCTGATAAAAAAGCGCTTAACCTTGCTGATTAAGGAGGAACAAAAGTACCTTGGAGTTGAAGGAATCGAACATTTGGTTGAGTATCAAATGATCTCGTGATTTTTTCGAGACTATCACCGGCTGGATTTTGTGTTTGGGTTTTAGCGATCTTTTCCGGCGGAGACCGAACTCGGAATTGTCTAGAAGGCATTTTCCAATCATCTGAAAACTTTTAAAAAGAAAATTTGTCGTGGTGTTCATGAAAATGTACCTTATTAGTGATAAAATCTCTTTTCTCCTGAAAATGCATAACAGCTTCACTGATGAGCACTGGAATCGGTTGGAGGGCGGATACAAGATTCTGTCGGTGGTTCAACTGGTTTGAAAGCCTTATCATACTCTCTGAAAATTTAAAGTATTCCCTTTTTTTTCCAAAAATACTGCTACCAATGGTATTCCTCCATGCGCCTTCACTATCTAACATTTGATGTGTACACCCTGACAAAATATTCACACAATACGATCTACAAGGCTTCTCAGAGATTCGCTGACATTCAGAACACACTTCCATTCGACTCAATCCCCGCTCACATTCTTCTTTTAGTGTTATCTGTAACCAAAACATCATCTCAGTTTTTTTGTTGTACCAATCGGAAGGACTTATACCGTCTAAGGCGGTATTAGTTATTTTACATGATGTCATTATACCCCGAGCTTTTTTCTGTTTGAAAAATATTTGTTTGGAACAAAGAAACTACCGTTTTTGACTCTCTGACTCAACCGCAGAAAAGTTTTCAAGGTTTTTTGTTTTAATCCAATATCCGTTTTTTCAAACAAAAAAATCTCGGCCATCCGAGACGGTTGTTTCTGTGCGATTGTTCTTTTGACAACGGGGAGTTTGCCGGCGCCATAATTAGTTTTTAGGGTGACGGAAAAGGTTTTTCTAATTGGTGGGCGAACACCTGTGGTGCCTGGGGTGAATGATTGCAATTTTGGTGTTGGGTGACTAATGTTTGTTCGCTTCGGTGGTCGAAGCAAAATTCAGAAACACAAATTTCTGTTTACAAATGTGCAAATTAGTGTGACAGTAACCTTTGAAATAAGAAAAAAAAACCATCGGGAATGTATTATCGTTGTTTGAGAGAAAAAAAGGCTGAGAACGAATATGTTTTCTAACTTTTTTTTAAAAAAGGTACAAGAAAGTAAAAGGGACAAGAACAGGCTTCCCCATTGTTATATCTTACCGTAAGACCTGTAACAGAAGGGTCCCCACGCTATTAAGTTAAAGCTCAAGTATCTCGATTCCTATGTGAGATTCCAAAAAAAAGAGAAGCTGACAAATTATTTCTGATATTATGATAAACAATTGTTTAGTTGAAAGCTTTTGGATATCTTCGGCACGAACCAAAATAAATGGCCTCAACGTTAATAGCTAAAAGCAATTCTATTGCAAGTTTTACGGTATTTTAATTATTATATTCGTTTTTTAATTTTTTGACGGTATTCATCGTTTTTCGATGTAAGGAATTTATTGAAAAAGAAATGAAAATTGTCAAAAATAGAAAAAAAAAGAAAAATATATATTCAAAAAAAGAAAAACTCACATTCAGATATCCCTCCAAAATCTCATGAAGAGACTCCAATGATCCTAGGAAATGCTTCCAATTCGATAGAGGAAGTGAAAGTTGGTTGGTGATTTTTTGTGGAATATCATCAAATGCCTCGATTTCCCTGTAGAACGCTTCCATACATTGCCTCTGTTCATTTGTGATCACATACTGTAACTGGAACTGTTTACCCTATATCTCTTCTACTAAAAAACTTACAAATGGATTAGTAATACTGAACATGACTTGAAAAAGTTCGTCAAAGAACATCTGCACGATAGTTTTCATACTAGTCCCCGCGAAGCTAACCGAATATCCTTTAATCTTTTTGAAAAAGTCATTTACCAAATCTATATTTTCTTGATAAAACGAGCCGTATGTGTTGCTGAACATGAGATCCAGGTCCATATGAATAGTTCGAAGGGTTTTTGAGAAGAAGTCATTGAAAATATGCATTTGGGATTTTAAAAAGTGTCGTATTGATATCACCCGATCTTGGTGTTTCCTCGTTATCATATCTACCGATGTGGCTTGTAACCGACTCCTCTCTTCCATTGTGCACTGATCTTCGAATGGTGATGAGCAGATAACTGTAAGAAAAAGGTCATATTCAAATCGACAATAGGTCGTTATCATTACATCTAGGTTATCACTTAAACTATTGCCTTTTTTATGGTTTTATTTTCGAATTTCGAAATCCCCGGCAAAAAGATGTACATTTTGAAATGTAAGAAGTTAGGCTTGACATTTTTCTCAATTTAATCTCAAGCTGAGAAAACAGAAAAAAGTTGTAAGTGTTAGGCAAAGTTCATGCCTCACCGCAAAAGGAAGCAAGATGTATGACATGGTCAGCGGCGTCTTTTAAGTTGTAAGCGGGACCCTTATTTATGTTTGTACCTGTTGCGCGCGGCTATGCGTCATGAAAAATCCCCAAGAAAAGGTGAGAACAGTTTTGGGGGAACGCCAATTAAGATTAAAATGAAAAAAACATCAGAAACCAAAGGATTTCTAGAATTAGAAAATATTATCTGGAATTCAAGAATTGCAGAAATTTTTTGAAGATTTCTCAAATTACAAATTATTATCTAAAACTTCTAGATCTACAAAATATTTTCTAGAGTTACATAAAAACATAAATACAAAAAAATTTTCAAATTTTCAAAATAGGACTCACCTCGATTTGCGTCTCTCCTACTGAAATAAAATCCACTAGATGAGTTTGGTGACACAATTAACAGAATCAAACACCAGACCAAAGTATCCGGAAACATAGAAAAAGCATACGAGCAGCAAGTGTTAAGCAAGTGCAATCGGAAATAATCGCTGGGGTTTTTTGATACCAGTTGAAGCGAGGGTCTGTGTCTAAATGAGTCTCCTTCCCTCTTCTCTTGTGTGTGTGCGATGCTGGTGGCGGCTGGTGGGCGGGGCCTTTTGGGGGTTACCAGTGAGATTGAACAGTAACTGTGAGGTTGGTATTTAGTAGGACGAAAGGTGTGACATTTCGAGCAGCAGGCCTTTTTTGATTGAGTCATATGTTCTTGTGTCGAACGGGTCGGAAGGAAGGAAAACAAAAGGTAAAGTTCAGTAAGGTGAATCTTTGAAAGGTTGAACTTCAGTACGATTTTTATTAGGATTAAAGAATTTAGAACTCGGTTCCTTGTTTGATAAATTACAAAAAAAATGATAAAGTAATTACCGTAAAACCTGCACTAGAAGGGACTCCTCACTTTTGACTTTGATCCGATTTTTCTTGGTTCCTGTGAAAGATTTCAAAGAGTTGCCAACTGATAAAATGTCTATTATAATATCAGAAATGTTTTGTCAGTTAACTTGATACCTTGCAAAGAATTTGAGAAAATTGATCTCAAACTAGACAGTGTGGGGGCACTTATGTCACAGACCTTACGGTATGATTATTTCTAGTAAATCGGCCTTATTATAATACAGTTTCCAGTTAGATGCTGTGTGAATTCAGAGACAAAAAGTAGCTCATAGAAATAGCCTGATGTTCCTATAAGGATCCGCGGTCTTTTCTTATTTAAATTTTATCCAGAACAGATTTGTTCACATCTGGAAATCGGAATTTCCAGAAAAAAAATATTCAGGAAGTTTTCCTTTCAAGTTGGTTTGAACAAAAAAATTTTTGTTAGAAAAATGTTCGATTACCAAATTTTTTAAGAGCTAAATTTTTGCCAATTTTTAAACACTTTTCGCTTTTTCTCTTTTTTCATGAAAATACATCGGAATCTTAAAAGCTTCGGGAAAAACTAACAATAACTTCGACAAAAATCAATTAAAAATCAATTTTCCTCCTTTCCCGGAAATTCCCAAAAAAAAATTGTGAACAATTTTAAAAACAAAATTTCCCAAAAAATTTTCCCAAACAAGTATGATCCAGCACTTCCTTAAGTAAATAAATGAGATTTCAGCTCTTAGTGCTTGAAGCATGGTTCTAACAGTAAATTCCCGAAAAAAAAACAGTTTTCCACGGATTGTTTCCTACGGAATTCTTACTGATTTTTTGGTCTGTTATGCTCATTTTACAGAATCATTTCCTAAGAAAACATCAAAAACGAACCAGCTGCACTTCACCCCTTCATACCAAAAACAGTTGTAAATTATTTCCCTTTTCATCACAATATGCTCTCTTTTTCGAAAGACTCTGTTCATAATCCCCCTCTTCTTCCAATTCTTCATGGGCAAGTGCTCCCGACCACTTGTGAACAAAAAGCCCCTCCGGAAGGATGAATGGCAAAAGAGGAAGCTCTTTTACCGTCCCCCAGGCTCAAAAGAACATTTGTTCATCTCCCGATCCATTCAGCCATACAGCTTCCTGGACTTGCGAACTGTTTGTTGTTCACGTGTCGGTTTCCCGCGCGACGACAAAATGTGTCGTTTTCATTTTATTGAAAATGGACACCAACACATGTTTGGCGTGCAACTTACCGGGTGAGCAGCAACGCCAGCTGAGTGTGAACGGGTGTGTTGGTTAGAGATCGGTGGCGGTGATCGGTGGCACAACTGGACATATGTGAATTGACAGAAAAGAAACATGACGTGAATTGAATGGAACAAATAAAATTGAAATGGGAAATTTTTTCGAGAAACTTGATTCGTATGGTGACAAGGTCCGCCCAGAATGAAAATCCGGAGAAAAATTTTCTGTTAAAATGGAATATTTGGATGCGGATATTTTTTTAATGATTCGTTGTTTTTTATGCATATTTTTTCATTTAAAGATTTTCAGCACAATGTTTCCAGAAATTAGGATGGAACTACACTGTTTATCCTCATTTCCTCTTACTGAAGCCTACCCGAACCGTCATTTTTCAAAATTAGTTTTCTGAATTCCTGTGCAAGATATCAAAATTTTGTCAACTGATAAAACATTTGTGATATTATGACAAATAATTCATCATCTGACAAATTTTCAATATCTTTCACATGAACCGAGATAATTGAGGTCAAAGTTGATGGCCTTTCGAGTGGGCATACATTGACGCCCCTAATTTTCCAATTTGAGTCGGTTCGGCTCATGGGAGAGATACTGGCAAATGGGCAACTAACAAAATTTCGTTGATATTATGATGAAAATTTTGATAGTCGACCACTTTTTGGTATATTTTTCAGGAAATCAGATGTATTTGCTGAAATTTGTTTTCGAAAATGATTGCTTGATTTTCAATTCACACCGTTAAACTCAATTCCAAGCAGTTTCTGATCAGTCAGACCATCTGTTCAATTCCATTTTCCTGTTTCTCGTCCCCTTGAATTCTTCAAAAAAAAAACATCACTAACACCCAAAGTTGACATGTCTCAGAAACAACAGTCTCTATATTCGACGGGCACACACTCACTATTTTTTGCGTGTTTACCGGTGCCTAATCAGTGCGGCCGAGCAGCTAAACAGGGTGTGAGACTCGAATATACGGTTAGTTTTTGTTCGCGGTTGCTGCTCGCACACAACGGGCGACACCGGATTAAATTGTGGTTCCTCTCGCGGTTCTCGTTCCGCAACCCAGCGCAAGCGGGGCTTCTGTTGCTCTCTTCACCTTTTACCGGACAAACAAAACAGGGAGGCGTTGCGAAAAATGAGACTGGAGAGAGAGGTAGAAGAGCAACAAGCTACCCCCGACGACCAACTTCTTTCAAATGTTGAAATATGATTGAGTGGTCAACAATAGAGCCACTTTTTCCTTCCTTACTCATTATGTACAGTATGACTATTTTTCATCATTCTCAGAGTTCAGCTTATTTTCTTGGCTTCAACTAAGTCTTTGAACTTTTTTTTTCAAATCTTCGTTTTTCTCCTGATCAAACTGTGATTCCTAAGAAACATTCTCCGTTTTTCAACCATTTTCGTACTCAAAACCGAAATCTAAAATGTCGAAGACGAAGGTTTCGATGATTTTGAAAAGAAAGCTAACTCTACATGCTCTAATAAAACGCAAATCTCTATTTAAATTTTGAGCTCAATTATCTCGATTTCCGTAAAAAATATCAAAAAGTGGTCGACTGCTAAAACGTTTGTAATAATATCATAAACATTTTATCAGTTGACGGAGTTTTGATATCATTTTCAGAAGTTGAGATAATTGAGCTCCAAGTGCAAGTACCGTGTTTCCTTTAATAGAAACTCACCCAAACCGTCAACTTTAAGCTCAATTATCTCGGTTCCTGTTAGAAATATAGAAAATCGGTCAGCTAACAAAAGATTAGTGATATTATCATTAACCATTTATCAGTTGAGAAATATTTAACATTTTTTACAGGAATCGAGATAATTTAGCTCAAAGTTGAAAATGAGGAGATATTATTCAATTGCTCAGTGATCGAGCTCAACGTGAAAGTATGGTTGCCGTCAGACTGTTTTACAGTATTTTGTTTGTGAGGTTTGAGGGTGTGTTTATCAAAATTAGAATTTTCTTCTCGATGTAATGTAATTTGATTGACTTTATTTTGAAAAATAATTTAATTAATTCATTTCAGACCTGTGATTTTGATTATTCGAGAATTGTTTTAGAACTAAAACTGAGATCGTCTGCTTATGAAAGTAAAAAAAAATACGTGTTCATCTCTTTTGAAAAATTATGGTATGTTCATTTTGAGAAAGACTCCATTACTTTGAAGCCACTTACAAAGTGTTGTCCTGCAAAAAAGTGAAAACCTGTTCTTCCATTCTATTTTTTTCTGTGTTTCTTTTACCTGCCACTTTCAAGGCTACCTATTCTTACTTGACCTCTCCAGAAAAGTGAAAATTTTCCAAAATTGTTTTTCCAAAAAATCCATTTTCTCCTTTCCACCTTAGCATTTTTTGTTCCCTTTCACCTATCCAATTTCACAATCTCGGAAGAACTTGATTCTCCTAGTTTTTTTCCAACTCTAAATTCCTTGTCTGTGTTTGAGCAGACAGTGTGAAATCAGAGCTGTTCTTTTGTGTTTATGAATGGGTCTAGAATTGAAGAATGCGCATCTTGCATATTCGCAATTTGCACTAGCTTCACATCCGGTTGGTACTATTCAATTTCAAATTTATTCTCGATGAGATTATTCATATTCAGAGTGGCAGATGAGACAAACGATTGTTATCCCACCCAGATTGACTACTATGCAACATATTTCGGTGTTTCCTGTGTTGTCCCCCAAGTAAACGTTTTTCCTAACCAGGAGAGGTTGACCGGAAGTTGGCGAGCCGCTGTCCACAACAATACCTACGTCTTTCGCCTTCCGTTTGCTCTTTTAGAACATGTATTAGTAATTTTTTATGCATTACGCCATTGAAGTGTCTCCTCTCTATAGTTTTTGAGACCACTTTTGGTCAAAAGCACTTGAGAAATATCGAGAACGTCCGATTTTGAAGATTTTGAAACAATTGCGGGTGATTCACGTGTTAGTGGTTTTCTCCCCTTCGTTGGAATAAATAAATAAATAAATAAATTGTACCGCTTGCTCTTTCTCTCTCTCTCTCTTTCACTTATCCTACGCGACTTTTAGAACACAGTTCACTTAGGAAAATTAGCAGAGATTTGGAACACGGAAGCTATTTTTGTTCTTGACCTACTACATACAAATTTACGATTTGTTTTCTTATTAATTCATCTCACAGTTCCCCGTTTTCTCTCCAGGTGAAAAGACCACTCGTGAAAATTATATCTAGGACAATCCCCGTATATTTACTACCTTCTCGCCCTCCCTCTCATTTCTTTTCTCTCACTAGTGTTTTCATTTTTCCCGTAGAACACCCGGATCATCACGATGCATGTTTCTTTTTTGCGATATTGGTCAAAATCATTTTTGAATTCCTTCTTTTTTTGCAGTTCACAATTCGTTGTCCGTTTTCCGATTCAAACAGTCCATAGTTCATATCGGGTGACGGAATGGGAGAGCGTGAAGTCAACCTACCGCAACTTTTCTCGGACGTCTCGCGAACAATAAGCGGTATCTCGAATATTATGGGCGCTGGTGCGGGTACGTTTTTGATGTAAGTGTGTTATAAAAAACTTTGATTTAAGAAGCTTCCGGAGATGGTCCAGGGAGTGGATCAAGTAGTGCTGCTGGAGGAGGAGGAGGACCATCAATCGCTGGAAATATTTTTGGGAATACTTGTTTTAAGGCATGCGGTATGGAGGATATTCAATTTGCAGCAAGGGTAAGTGAGTTTTATGATTTTTATGATTTCGCTCTTTTTATGCTCAAAATGAAAAACCGCGCAAAATTTTCGAAAACGCGTTTAGGAAATTTGAAAAAACTGAAATTCTCCGTGAATCCGTGCGACCAATAGTACGATGTTTTAAGAAAATAGAATGCTTCGCTTTAAGATAAAATAGAAGGCTACGATAAAACAAGATTTCTTCCTGAAAATCATTCAGTAGCGGTCAATAAGTTATAAAAACGTATTTCTAGATTTCCGACCATTTTGACCATTTTCAGGATTCTGGAGCTCGGTTTTCAAGTTTCCGATCATTTTCAGAACTTTAGAGGGTTTATAACAGAGGTAGATTGTAAATTTTGCATTCACAGAATTTTTGAAAAATCCTAGTTTTTCAGTTATTTGCCGATTTATGGAAGATACTCCTTCTAGTCGTTTTTCAGAAATCGGCACATATCTAGAAAATTAGAAGTTATCGGAAAATTAAGTAAAAGCACAATTTTCAGTCTAGATCTGTTTTACATCTTCTGAAATTTTAAAAGTCATTGGAAATTTTATAGCCGAGCTCCAGACTCTCAAAAATGATCAAAGTGGTCCGAAATCAAGAAAAAACACTCACATATGATATCATATTCTATTTAAAAATGTTTTTAGAAGATGTAAAAAAGCTGTAATGAGTCCATGAGTTATCATGGGCCAATACGACGTTGAACGTCTCGTTATCAGGTAAAAAATAAAATTTCTCCCAAAAATCATATACGAAATATTTCAATGATCTCGGTGTTTTTTGTACTCTCTCTTCCACAAACAACACTCAATCACTGAATTATCCGAAATGCATCCCGTATTTTTCATTGTTTTCATGCATTTGCTCTGCACTTTGAAGAATATGATACTTTGAAAAAATAATATGCATAACCTCTTAACCCGGACATCCATATTTAGATGGGGGGAATATCCATATTTAGATGGGGGAATTCCAACAAAAACATAAACATTGGCAAACAATGTCTTAGCGATGCGAAATTTGGGCCTAATTCTGTCCACCTTAAGAAAAGAGCTAATTTTTTAGCGTTGTGTGTACACTTGTTGTGTTTGTGTTTTTTGTTTGATTTGTCAACAAGAAAACAGAACAAAAGAAAAAAACAATTATAAACTACAGTAATCTAAAAATTTTCAGGCAGCCGGGGAAATGTTCTCAACTATTAAAATGTGCGTTCTGATGTCCACCATTATATCACTTCTCTTACTGGTTTTTCTCTCAACGGCGCTTTTGTATTTCATGTGCTCTTACAATCAGGTGAAAGAAATCATACAAAATATGAGTCGTGTATCCGCAAAAACTGTCAAAAAGTCAATATCCAATCAAATCACGTTGAGCAAACAAACCGAGTGGATTCTAAATTCGATGACTTTTTCCCCGCTTCTCGCCGGTTTAGATACGCTCGTTTGCACTTGATAAGAGGGAGAGGAAAATTTTGATTTTTACTGTTTTTCAGAAAAACAGTATTTACAGTATTGTCTATTCAAAATAATCGCGCGAGTGAACGAGTGAAAATGTCTGCGTCTCTACAGCGCCTCTACAGGTTTGGAGACTCTCTACACGTTTTTTTACTCGTTCGTCCGCGCGATTACTTTGAATAGATAATAATGAGCTGAAATACATTCTCAAATGAAATTTTCTGTTAAAATGGTCAATTTTAGGTGACTGGAAAAGTACTCATTACTTGTCAGTTCATTCTGAAAAATGTAAAGATTATGAATCAAAGTTAGAACTTTGTTTTTGTAGTTAACAACTTTTTTGTATAATCTCTTGCTAAAGAGGTATCTTATATCAAACAGAAAACACCCAACAATTTTAATTTGACTACTGAAATTGGTAAAAAGGAGTACCGTTGTTTTACGCGACCTGTTTTTTGACAAGTGACTAAGGAAAAGATTGTAAATTACAAAAATGAAGCTATATGTTTAATAAATGATTCGAAATTTTTTCAGACCAAACGGACAAGTAATAGGTATTTTTTCAGGGATCTGAATTTGACAGTGTTTTGCTAGGGTTGTAATTTTGAAACAAAACGTGCAGCTAGCAAAGTTATTGGGAAAATTACAAAATTCTAAATAAAACTTACAGTAAACATTGTCAAAATTAGATTTCTGATATGGAAATTTTAGTAGGTTACGAATGTTTAAGACTTTGGAAATTGACCATTTTCCAGGGAAAATGTATTTTTTCCGACATTTCAATGGTCCTGACTGCTTATTGTGGTCCATACTACTTGTTTGAAAATCTTGAGATGAAAAAAAAGTAAAACTTCACATTTCTGAACCTTTCAAAATTTTCAGAACTGCAACAACTGCTCAAAATTCTCTCTTCCCTCATTTTTCAAACGTGTGACATCTACACAAAGCCCGGTGACTGCTCAAAAGTGATGTAAACACTTTGATAACTTCGAAATTGACAATCTTGACGACTTTTCACTTTAATTTATTCCGTTTTGTTATTTATTATTGCGGGCACTCTTTCGTATACATTTTTTGAAATTTTCTTGGACATTCAATATCCCAAAATCCGATTTTCCTCTTTTTTTTATCGCGCATTCAGCTTCAACTAATGATCCAAAAAATTTAATCGAAAATGTCAAAAAAAAACTAGTCATTTTTGTATAGGTCTTATTGCACATCATTTTTCATCTGAATAAAACATTGAAAGATTAAAACCTCTACAGTATTGCTCCCTTTTACTAACGGCTGCTTATTTTAATCTCAGAGAACGAACCAGCATTTTTTGTATCAAGAAAAATGTATTTTCAAACCGAAGACAGTATTGTAGTGTTACCTCAAATTTTGGAAAAAAAATCGGAAATATATATTTTATGAAAAACGTAAAATTCCAAATAAAATGAGCAAAAGCATTCGTGAAACATTGGGAGAGAGCTAGAAAGAAGGAATCACGTAGGGATCACAAAATATGTACAATACTGGGTTTGTGAAAAATATTTTGATGGAACGCCAAATATTGTTGTTTATAGAAATTCTATCTGAAATGACAATTCTTTTTTGGAATACATCAAAACCTATAATAGTTGTATGACCGAGAAACCCGAGTATCCATGATGAATTTTGACTTTTTGGCTTTGGGCAGAGAATGAGTAAAATTTTGTTGATAGAAATTTCGTTTGAATTACATATAAATAATACCAGACTTGGGAAGATTGGAGACAAAGAAAGAAGTGAGCGGGTCGGAAATGGTCAGAGGAAGGAATTGTTGCCTATGTCATGATATTCGTAGCGACTCCGCCTCGCGCAACACATTGTGCATGAAATGTAGGTTAGGAAGGAACTTCTGAACTGATGATTTGTGAACATGTAGATGAGGAACTTGCAACATGGTCCTGACACAGCTAGCCATACGAAGAAGAATGTTACCTGAAAATATTCAATTATCGGGGGAAGGATTTCAAAGACAGATGGCAAAAAAGGTTAGTATCACGTAATACAGTATCAGGCAGAGATATACAGGAAAATTTTGGATAATTCTGTGCTTGAGTGTTGTTTGTGGAAAAAAAGTACAGAAAACATCAAGATCATTGCAATATACAATACCTGTCAATAATTAATACTAAACGTATTTCACAATGGATTCTCGATCATTTTGCCCATTTTCCTAGTTTTCAAGCTATTTGCCAATTTCTGAAAGACATCATTTTCCGGCCCTTTTTTTGTGATGAAAACATGAAACAGCAGGTGTCTTTCAAAAATTGGCAAATACCTGAAAAACTAGGAATTTTTGAAAAGTTAGGTGACGGCGAAATTGTCAATTCAACGTCAACCGGTATTAGTAGGGCCCGCCCTTATACTGTTCCAAGGAGCTTCCGGAGGGCTGTTCTATTACAGGGGCCTTCATATTTTTACGACCATTCTACCCAAAATTTTTTATGAGCAAATGCGTTGAATTCTCATTAAATTAATGAAAATTTATGAATTTCTACGAAATCGGGCAATTTTTTGAGTAAAAATAATGTTTCAACGAATTTCTTTGTAATTTCGGATTTTCCAAAATATTTTTTACAGAAATCGAACGACTTTTTAACTTTGAACAACACATTTTTTAGTGCGCACTTCTTTCACAGGGGCTTTCCTATTAAGGGACTATTTTAATACAGGTTTTACAATGGGTTTGTTTTAAACACTTCTAAATGTTTACAATGATTGGAAACCAGACAGCCGAGCACCAGATTGCTGAAATGTGCCGAAAATCAACAAAAATACGTTTTTGTATATCTGACATCACTAGCCCGGAAGTTAACAATCTTCTTACCATAGACAGATCCATGTCGAACGGTCCCCAAATTAATTCCAACAACTTCAAAGTGATTAAAGGCAGCCATGATAAGAAGAATGTGACAAATAAAAATCCAGTCAGCACAAAATTCGGATCAGTTTCTACCACATTTCTCTGACTGTCATCAAGCTGAAAAAAATTTATTTTGGGATTCTATCTTGATGTTTCATTTGCTCACCACTCCCGGATTCCTAATCGCTGACCAAATTTTCCAACCTGTATTGAACACTGTTACTAATGTAGGCACGAAGACTAGTAAAAGGAGAGTAACACTATACGCCGATGTTGCTGACCAATCCAGAACACAGAGTTGTGCATCAGGGTAGAAGACAACCTAAAATGTTTTGTTGCCGAAATTTAAGAAAAATGAAAATGGATCACCTGCATTCTTGCCACGATAATTGGGCAGCAAAGAAGCATTGATGTAAGCCAACTGAATATAATCCAACATTTGCACCTTGTTAATGATTGCTCACTATATCGTGATGGTTTCATCATTGCCGAATATCTGGAAAATTTCCTTTTGAATCCCCTATAGTACCTATAAATCCAAAAGTGCAAATCTTGAAGAAGAACATTTTCTTCTTCCTCTTCCCGTCTCCTTTGGACGGGAAATACGCAATTGGTAGAAACCTCTTCCTTACCTATCGATACATATCCATGCAAATGTGTAAATGGTCGAGCAGAGAAGTGCAATTTGGAGGTATGCTGCACTTTTGCAAATCATCGAATTGTCGCCGCCGATTCTCCATGTTCCTTCGAGAGTGGAATAGATGCTGAGTGGGATGACAAAGAGAGCCGTCAGCAGGTCCGCCACGGAGAGGGATATCTGAAATTTATGTAGTGATAAAAATTGGTGCAATTTTTAGTATTTAAATAGTGTCAAGTTAAACTGGGAGACGAATGAATTGTCAAACAACAATTTTGATTACTGTGTTTGCCCTATATGTGATGTCGCCATATACATCTTTTGAGCTCAATTATCTCGGTTCCTTCAGAAGTCATTCAAATTCTTTCAACTGAAAAATTGTTAACCATAAAATCATCAACATTTGATTAGTGACCAAACCTTTGATTTCTTTTATAGCAACCGAGATAATTGAAGTCAAAGTGAACGTGGATAGTAATTCCGTTAATATAGGATCGTAATTCCCAAAATTCCGACCATTTTTGAAATAAAACTGGTTGAAATACGTTCGAAAGATTATTTCGGGATGACATTTCGACCAGAATTTTTCCAAAGCCTTAAAAAAAACAAATTCCGATCTGAACTTGTTCGAACTTTTTTTTTGGAATTAGAGCTGTCTCAAGCGTAATTATTTAATTTTTACGCGTTTTTGTGGTGGAAAAAATCGAGTTTGAAATTCCGAGACTTTCAAAATTGGAATATTCCAAAGTTTCAAAAAATTCCGGAAAATTCCGAACATTTCTGGGGCTGGCTTTGAAGAAAATACAGAAATTTAAAAAAAAATCACGATGAAAATTTAATTTTTTTTTAATTTAGACCGACAAACTTAAACCAAATTATGCTAAAATTTCACACCTCCTCTCCCCCGAAACCCCAAGTTATCTTTCTTCCTACGAAGGGTTTCCAGCAGAAACAGAAAGTTGACCTAATCAAATTTAACCCAGTTTTCCTCGCATTACATCAGGCTAGCATACTACTGCACAACCTCTATTACATTAGCATTCATATCCCGACCAAGAAGTGACAATCAACCAAGTTTTGGGGCTTTGCGAAAGCTTTGGGAAATCATTTTCTTTAAAAACTGGGTTTCCTTTTTATCTATGGTTCGTGAGAATCTCATGCGAAGAAGATCAGAATTTAGATAAAAATGCTAATTATCTTCCAGAACCTTTGCATTCCAAAATTATAGGGTTCCAGTTCAATTTCACCAATTTTCAACTCAATTCCGTTCTCCTCTTAATTATGCGTATCCTCTCTCTGAGTGTTGTGCACACCATATTCAGAGAAAACGGAGAGGAAGCAATGTATAAGGGAGGAGTTAGTGCACCATTTTGCACATAAATTAAGAGGCCACACATGATGAAATAGTATAAGGAAAAGACGCATGAATCCCAGATAGAGAGGGAAGAAAAAGAGAGTGTGAAACTGAGATGAGCCATAAAAACCCGGAAAAGTTCTATGAGAGTCTTTGAATAGAGGGAAATTAGAAGGGAAATGAAAATAATCTAAAGAACGCACGTCAGATAAACTTGTTCAAAAATTCTGAGATTCAAAAATGTTGTAAATACAGTAGCTGGTCAATATGATATTTAAAAAACGTATTTTTCAGTAGTCTCGTATTTTTCAGAGTCTGACACGTTTTGGATCACTTCGAGAATTTCAGCGGATGTGAAACAAACCTAGATTGAAAACTTTGCACTCACAGAATTTTTCGAAATTTTCAGTTTTTGCAGTTATTTGTCCATTTCTGAAGGACCCCGTCGGACCCTTTTTTGTACTGAAAACGTGAAAAATGGGTGTCTTTCAAAAATTGCTGATTAGCTAAAAAGGTAGGAAATTAAAAAAAATTCTGTGAATGCAAAGTTTTTCATCTAGGTTTGTTTCAAAACCTCTGAATTTTTCAAAGTGGTTGGAAACATGACAGTCATCTAGTCTCGTGAAAAAGCCAAGAATCATCTGAAAAACACGTTTTTGAATATTTTATTGACCGGGTACTGTACGTCTATCTTCTCCATATGACATTTATTAACACGTAGTTCACAAATTCAATTATTTCGGATTATGCTTCTTCTATTATTTTCACTGAACTCTGAAGAAATTTCCAAAACATTTCCGTCAGCTGAATCAGTTCTGAAGTCAAAATTCTTTAAAAAGTTGATAATATATTCATGTAAAATAAAATTCATGTCCTAAAAATACATGCTCTTCTGAACTCTATGATTGAATCAAGCCATTATTGACATCACCCACACCAAAATCTCCTTTTTCTGAAACCGACCCCCCAAAACCCATTGGGGATATGGAAATAGAAAAAAGGCTCAGAAAAAGGCAACTTTTTTATCCCTCTCTTCTTCCACTTTTATTTGCTTTTTTTAAAAAAATTCCTTGCCCCGCCACTCACCAAATAACATCCGATGACGTCAGATAGATCTGGGGTGAACGCGATGATAAAGATGTTCAGAATCGATGTGACCAGAAGGAGCAAATCGACAGCTAGAATGAGCGACGCGCGTCCCAAAGATTCGGCGGTTAGACTGCGAACGTCGACTGGCGGCCACATACTTGGGCTCGTCGTCCACAGTGCCACCTAGAAAAAATTGGGATTTTCTGGTTTTTCGAACTTATGGAAGGCTCTGGAGAACTTCTGGAAGACTGGCTGTGGGAAAACGAGCAAAAACACAAATTTCTGAAAGCACAAGGTGTCTTGAGGCCCTTTGTATGGGAGGGTTGCGTAGAAATGTCGCTATGGTGATCCCCTTTCACCATGGTCATATTTGTGAAAAAGTTCAAAAAAGCACAAAAAAACTGACTTCTTCTTTTGTTCTTTTGACTTCAAAAAAGGAACTAAGCTACTAAAATTGGCTAGACTAGACGTCTTGATGAAGTTGTCAATCAAAAAATTCGGAATCCAACTCACCTTGTGCCTAATGAGGCCATTCAGGTTCCCCAATGAGAAAAACGAAGGTGTGCCAGTCTCGTTTGTTTTTTGGTTATCCTTTTCAGCCAAATCAAATCAAGAATTGCAGCTCCCAATATCCCAAAATTCGCGGGGTAGGACAATCAACAAGAAGCTACACCTCTTCTTCGTCCTGTTCTGAAAAATTGATTATAAATTCTTGAAAATCAAAGAAGAGATATAAAAGAGCGAAATGGAGGGAGAGTAATAAAAACGACTACAAATCTACAGTACTTCTGGAGTTATTTTATTGCTGGCTTTCTGATTTCAAGATTGAACACCAAGGATTTGTGCTCTGCTCACTTAACACCCTAGAAATGTGAAGAGAACCATAGTTGGTCAAAGGAAGAGATAAGAAGACTGCCAAACCAACACCAAGTCTCTGGCCTCAGGTGGTAGTAGTCTTTCGGACCGAGCGCCACAATCAGAGAGGAGCCAATTTGCGTTCTGCCCCCCCTACAAATGGCTCACTCTTCCCATCGGTCCTCCTCCCACCCCCAGCAGCACCCCAGGCTAGTCTCCCACCAACAAAGGACACATCGTTTTCGTTTTCGGAAAGAAGAAAAACGGATTGCGACATGGGAAAGAAGACGAGTATGGGGAGGGATGGACATAGATGGAAAAACGGACGGACCGCCCGGCAAAGGAGCCCCCAGAAAACGGGGGAAAAACAGGGAAGAGATAGAGAGAGGAAGTGTGTATCTTTGTGACTGGAATGCAATTCCGATATATTCGTAAGTTGATACTAATGGGTTTGACCGCCGCTCCTCCGTTTTCGTGCAGTTTTTTTGTTGGATAACATGTTAAAGTTTTTAGGAAATATTTCGATCGAAGCAAAAAATGTAAAGATTAATTTAGAAAAAAGATATCAGAAAGTGGTCGGCTGACAAAATGTTTGTATAAATATCAACAATATTTTGACAGTTAAGAACTTTTTGATATTTTTCACAAGAACTGAAATAAATTGACTCAAAGTTGGAAATCAGGGAATTCATTCTACTCGTCACTGTTAAGCTTGAGCAAAATTTTTCGTTTTCTGTGAAATAAATTTAAATCTGTTCAACCGATGAAATATCACCTAACATTTGCCAGTTGACAACTATTGGATATCTGGGACAGGTACTAGGATGAGCAAGTTCATAGTTGAAAATTGGAGGGCGCTTCTATAACAGGTTTTAAGGTATTTTTATTATTAAGGAATTATAAAAACTGAAAATCACTGTATACAGTTTCAGCAGGACTTTGGAAAAAGGTAATGTCTTGAGTTGTGTTTCTAAATTTAAAAAAAATGGGAAAAACAGATTTTCCTTCAAAAAACTGAACTACAGTAATCCGGTTTATGAAAACTAAAATCGTCCAAAAATAATTCCAGTTGAAGTTTTGTAAAATGCGTTCCAAATTGTATTATTTAACTTTCAGGAGTTTCTAGACAGTTAAATTTTCAAATTCATTATTACCACATTTCCTCTAATAGAACACCCAAACTGTCCACTTTCAGGTCAATAATATTTATTCCTGTGAAAGATACCAAAAACTTGTCAACTGATAAATTGTTTATCATAATATCATTAATATTTTATCGGTTGACAAATTTTTGATATCTCTCATAGGAATCGAGATTATTGAGCTCAAAGCTGATAGTTCGATTTAGCTTCTATTCTAGAGGGAATACGATTCAATATGGATAAACATTTCCAAAGAATTGTTTCACAGTTAAAACCCCTATGATTTTTGCCCTATGACACCTATCTCTTGTAAAAACCTAATAACACGCTACAGTACGCCTCAACGTTTCTACAAATTTCTAAAAAGTCCACAATCCCCAGATTTCCTGCCAAATCCAAAGTAATCTAACTTTTCCAACAATTTTTTTGGGATAATGCCGATCAGGAAAAAGCTAAGTGGATCCTAAAAAAAGAAGACAAATCGTCTTTGGCATCTGGTGGGAAATAATCGCACTCCGGTGGCGGCGCTGAGAACGCAGCTAAGCACCTAGCCGATTGGCTCTTAGAGCATGCTTCTTTTTTTCAACAAAAAAAAACAACAACAAACTAAATAAGGAATCTTGAAGGTTGATGGGACCCGGGGAATGGGAGGAAAAACGGGGGAAAAGAGGCAAAAGTAAGAAAAGCACCACAAAATCTCAAGGAAGAGAGCACTGAAATAGGCGAGACATGAGATGGCGGCTCTTTGCTTCCTCCTGCTGCCCCTGGCATGTGCTCCTAGAAAAGAAAGCCAATGGATATTTAATCCGCAAAAGTATAAAATTATGTAACTAGCAATCTGGGCCGCCCCTCTCTTCTTGGCAGGCGTGCAATGCTTCTCAACGCTCAATCATTTGCGCATAGAAATGCATATTTCTGTCATCCCGAACCTGCTTCGGAAGGTGGTGGAGGAGGGGGAGCAGCGAAATGGGCGGAGCATAGGACATACAATCTAAATGCTAAATACGGAATAAGGGTCTAGACTTTTGAATGGTAGAACAATGGGGTGACACCAAATTATTGAAATGGGCACGTTTCGATCAAATAAAAGTCAGACTAGGGTATTTTAATTAAGAATTGAAGACAATTTTTGGTGAAAACGAAAAGGGAAAATATTTGCATTTTGTGTCTCCAAATATTTGATACATAGACATAAGAGGGATCAAAATAATTGAGTTACCCTTTGGTCTTTTTAATACAATTCATTTTTTTTGGTGACTTCTTAGTCATCAACAAAATTTAGTTAACATTCCGGAATACCTAACTGAATTTGATGTCTCTCAAAAAACTTATAGTAAAAACACATGTAATAGAAGTGCCCCACACTGTCAGGTTTGAGCTGATTCATCTTGGCTCCTATGTGAGGTTTTAAAAATGTGTTAACTAATAAAATGTTTATGATATTATGGTAAACAATTTATAAGTTGACAACTTTTTTATGTCTTTGACAGGAATTGAGATATATCTGCTCAAAGTTTAAAGAAAGACGATCCTTCTATAACGGGATTTTTCTCGAAAAGACCTGGAAACCTGTGGAATACTGTACATGAAAATTATACATTTTGAACCCAAAATTCTTGGAAAACAAATTTCTTCGGACCAAATGGTGTGTTTGCAACAAAAACAAGTTTCATGAGGTGCACTGCAAAGATGAGGAAACGAGAGTAAATAGAGATGAGGAAATGCGTATTCGAGAAACATTTATACGCATGATTTATTTTTTACGGGGCCGTTTTTTTCTAGTTTTCTCTTGGTGAGGTCCGAAATTTGCTTGGAAAATGAGGAACCTTGGTGTTTGGGATGAAAAAGATGGTTTTTAAGCTACAAGGTCTTGAACATCGAACACTGTATTTTTGGTTACAGTAAAATGCGGTTGAAATATTTTTCAGTCAATTTTTGGTCATTTTGACCATTTTCAAGAACCTAGAATTTGGCTGTCAAGTTTCAGATCATTTTGAAAACTTTGGAGGGTATAAAGTAGACCTAGGTTGATAATTTTGAATTCGCAGAATTTTTTTGAAAATTCCTAGTTTTTTAGCTAATTGGCGATTTTTGAAAGACACTTGTTTCCTCACATTTTCAGTTCAAAAACAGGCCGAGAAGGGCTGTATTTCAGAAATCGACGAATCGCTGAAGATTAGAATTTCTCAAAAAGTTTTATGAATCGAATTATTTGATATCTCTGTTCATACCCTCAAAAATGGTCTTTTGAAAATACCAAAACTCAACAAAAATGAATCAATTTTTGTATATCTTATTGAGCAATACTGTAAGTTACGAGGCTTTTTAAGACCTTGACCTAAAAAACTTGCTTAGTTCCTGGTTACTGTAAAATAGATCTACGGTGCTTAGCTTAAAAATGTAAAAACCAGTGACTTGAAAACGGCATATACCGTACCACTATGAAACCAAGATCCCATTAAATTATTCACACTTTCCCACTGTATTTGTATTTGTTTTTAAAGATCTGCCAAAATTATGAAAAGTAATTTGAACCGCTGCTCTCTCAAAATGACTCAATCCACCAAAAAACAAAGTTCAAGAGCTTCTTCAAGTACAGTAATTCAATATTCATGAAGTGGTCATAAAATGCTACCAACTGGTGAAATGTCTTTTAGAATTGAAATGCATAGTTGGTAAAATGGAAGAAGAGGACGAACTGGGTGTAAAAGGACAAAAGAAAACGAGGAGTGACGTGTGTTTTGATTCAATCTTAATCGCGTAAAAGGCTGCTGAGCCCTCCGAGTGAGCTAAACTTTTTCCCTACTTTCTCCTTCTCACACTTCTTCTCGCTACAACAACTACTCCCGTTATAGTGCACCTATTATCTTGAGCGGTTCGGCTCATTGAGCTAGACGGACCTGGTTGATGTGAAAATGAGCGGAGAAAAACAGGGAATACCGAAAAAAGAACTGCCTCTGAGCTCTGAGCTCCCGAAGAGTCCATTTTAGACGAATAAAGTTTTTTGTGACGCCTTTTGGGAAGTGACACCCCTTTTCAGCGGAAGACTTTTTTCTCAAAAAGGGAAGCAGTTTTGGCTTTTCGTAATGTATTCAAATGGTGAGTGAGTGTGTAGAAATGTGTTTGGGAGCATTCACACTAGTTCGGAAGTTTCGGGAA